AAAAAAAAAAAAAAACGTGGCATTATTTGAAATTGGCCGGAGAATCTCTCTTCCTCCCCCGATTAGTAGCCATACACGAAATAAACCTTCCTAATCTCCCCACGCCTTTATAAATTATGATTACCCTCATTTTCTCGTTAAAAAACTAACTCATCAACAACCACAGAAAACATGTTGAACCACAGCCTGCACAAGCCTCCCGCCAAGCCTTTCCTCACCGCCGGTGCAAAGGCCGCCCAGCTGTCTCCGACATTCATTTTCTCCGGCCAAAATTTTTTCCCGGCCGGAAAAAAACGCGTGCTCCGGCGGCAGCATGGCTGGGCTTCCGTGAAAGCCATGGCGTCACCCACCGCGGTCACTACCGGAAATACGACGAGCGTGAAGGCTGTGGTGACCGTGCTGCAGCCGGTGGGCGGGGTGTTGTCCCACTTGGGCCTTAGCCGTGGGCTCGATGATATAGCTGACTTGCTCGGCAAAACCCTTCGGATCGAGCTTGTGGCAGCCGAGCTTGAACCTAGTAAGTGTGTGGAAGTATGAAGTATGGATAGAAGATGACATATACATAATTTAAAATTATTCTACTTTACTAGGAAGAGAAAAATAAAAAAAAATAAAAATAAAAATTAGAAATCATTATGTTTCTGCTCATTTACAAGTTAGTCAATTCACATTTACATATGATAGAAGTATGAAGACATCCATTTCTAACCAATTTACATGTAACTCAATTAATGATTAGGATTATTTTTTGCCACTATTTTATTATTATTATTATTAAATGGAAGAAATTTACAAAAATCTCAAGGTGTGTAACTTCTTTTGGAATTTCTATCCAAATCACGTAGTAGTAATTCATTAATGACTTAGGGAAATACTACACTTCCCCTAATTAGTGTAGGATACATAATCTCGCTGAAAAATTCCGACGAAATGGTTGTGTAACGGGACTGTAGTGGATAAATAATCTACGGTGAAAAATCTCGACGAAATAGTTCCCTAACAGGACTAGTATTTCTAAATGACTTAATAACAAAGCAATTCTCATTATATTACGGTAATTTTTATTTCTTAGAGTCTGGACAAGAGAAACCGAGCATTACTTCATATGCACATAAGGTTAGCAACGATGAGAAGGAGGTCTACTATGAAGCCAAATTCAAAATTACTGAAGACTT